AAAACTTATAAACTCTCTGTCACTACAAAATCGAAAAAAAATCTTTTTATTACTCTTTATTTCTTTCCACAAAAATGTTTCAGTTACATGGTTATTCTAATTCTCACAGTCTTTTTGGCTATAAGCTTTCGCCAAATTATTTTTCAAATTTAATATTGAGTATAGAGACTTAGCTTTGTTTTTGGCTATTTTATCTCTCGAAAAATAGCCAACCATGAATCTCTTCCCATGCTCCTAGCTGTCTGTTGAGAACAATTCAATCACCCATTAATTTGGCTTGTGATTAGACTGGCCATGGAGGATTTATCTCCCATGGCCTGTCCTTATCAATATTATTACGCAAAATTTATTATTTCAATTAGAAGGTCTTATGGAGGAAATATACTTTTAATTTTGTATCTCGAGCTCTATAAATACTACTGAATAAATGTTTTATTATAACTATGATCCAGTTTTCCTCTTCAACTGTCATTTTCATTATCCTGTTTTCATCACAATCTTCAATTAGTCAATTATACCATATAACTCTTCCTCCCCTCTCGTCATTATAGTCATTAAGGTGCTCTGTTTCTTTTTCTGTCTTTTTTACACTGCATATCTCGGATGAATTTTGAATAACGTTATGAAAAAGTGACTACAAAACACGGGAGCATATTTATTAAAATAAATGAAATATTCCTTTACAGAATTTATTCAAATAATAAGGAGCAAATATTTTTAACGGGACAAAGATTTTTAAGAAGTTTTTATTAGTCACAGAAAGTTTAAAATACCACTACCTCTTTTAATAATTTGTAGTATTCTAAAGATAAATATTAAATTAGGTTGTGATTTCAATAAGTTCTTTTTTAAATTATTAATGAAAATGTTTTCCAAGCAACTAAATTGATTTAAAACTTTTTGTTCATCAGATGAACTCTCTGTAAGAATAGCATAAGATATATACAAGTTCTAACTTACGAACATTCTTTAGAAGTTGATTTTAAGATAAATAATAATCTGAACTATGCAAACTTATTTCTTAAAATATAGTTTACTTAAACGAAATGCATGTTTGAAATAATTTCATTTCACGAAAAGGGCCGAGAACTACATAAACTTAGTTTTTTTTACTTAAGAAAAATGGAAAAAAATAAACAAAAATGTTTGGTAACATAAAAAATAGTAATTTATTTTGTAAGAAAGTGTGAGAAAAATTATGTTGATCATGAAGAGTGAACCTAACAGAGAGCATAATTCCTAAGCAACTTAATAAAAATTTTACCTTCAAGAAATATTCTATGCCTTCAAACTTAATTTAGAATGTTAAAATTGAAAGATATCTATTAGATAGGAATTTTAAAAGTAAATAAGAATTTTAAAAGTATCTACCCTATAAAAGTATAGAATATACTCAAGATAAGAATTTTAAAAGTAAAAGATATCTTAATGCAAAGAAGAAATAACTTAATTTTTCTGAACTAGTTGCTCATTCATTATCATTTATTTTAAGTAATATCTTAAATCAGTCAAGCATGCTTTTATACAAAATGCAAACAAAATTTATTGAATGGAAAAAAACTGCATGAAGACGAACTAATTTGAAACGAAATTTAAATTGTTTGCCTAAGATTGAATTCATTTTTAAGTTTTGAATTAAACAAGAATCTTGTAATTCAGTAAAAATGTTAGGATTGTTAGGTCATTGTAATAATAAAATTAATTTAAAGTCAAGCAAATATTTTTTATTGTTTACACTTTAAATTTTGAACAAGTCTAGAGGAAAAAGTTTAATTTTTGAGCAAAATCAGACAATTTAAAAAAGATAAATGTCTTGTTTTACGAATACGAAAACAAGACGTAATTATATTTATCTACTGGTAAAAAAAATAAAAATTATTTACAAATATTTACTAATGTCACACACGATTTGAGAAGAGTCTTGCTGATTGTATTTATTTACTTATTTGTTTAATCATAAACAAAATATGTAAAAAAGATAAGGAATTCGGTACCTAAGCAAATATTTTGTTACATTGTTTAAGATTCATATTTAACTTGGTAAGGAAGAAAATTGATTTATTTGCATAGTTTTTTTTTGTAACTGTAATTGCTTAGATGTATAGCTTCTATGATTATAAAATGATGCATTTCTGTGTGTGTGTCGTCGAATATATGTCCCTTTTACAACTTGCGAAAATTTTGCGTTAGGAAGGCAAAGTTGATTTTTCTCATAATAGGAAAAAAATGATTTTTGAATAATAGAGAAAGAAAAGTTATGAGTTAAAAAGGATTTTTCTCATAATAGGGAAAAACGAATTTTTCTCAAAATAGAGCAATCCACTTTTAATTATTTAAAAGGTTGAGTGATTACCCATCAATTCAATCAAGAATGATTTTCACTGGAAGTTTTTTGAACGTGTTTCACTATCTTTGACTTTTTATGTCAGGTAAGCGCAAGCAAAATCAAAGTGGTTGGTATGTTTGTACGTCGTCTTGGAAGAGTATTGTGAAATCTACCTAAAACCAAGTATTTAATTTGTTTATATTCACGCTTCTAAAATGTGCATCGATAAACTTAAATAATATGAAATAAAAAATATTATGTCTACTAAGAAATTTCCGCAAAATTTGGAGAGTTGGTTTGTAATTGACACAGCTATCTCACGTTTCCGAAGAAAATAGGTCCGTACCCGTAATTGTTGTGAACTTCGACAAATTAAGTAGAGTTTACCACTGACGTAAATGGTTTACTCTCTCTTTCAAAAAAAAAAAAAAAAGTCAACGAAACGTAATAATATCTTTCTTGTATAAAGATCTTCTTGATGAGCAGTAATAAAAAAAATGCGAAAGATACATGTTTGACATTTTTGTAATCACATTATTTTAAAACACTTAAAATTTTTGAGTAAAATTATTGCATATTTTAATTATTTTAAATTCTGACAAAAATTAAGCAGTTAAAAAATTCTGTATTTTAGTTATATTTAAACTAAAGATATTTTTATTATTGGTTTTAACCTTTAATTTCATTTAATTTAATTCAAACTTACCATTTTACAATATTGAAATTCATGCAATGCAATAAAATGTATGCATATGTCATAGCTGAAATTTATTAATGGAATATTTAATGACTACGTTCAATTATAGATTTTAGATTGCATCTGAAAATGTATGCATGGATTAAATGCATCGATAATATTGTGCTTAAATTCCTCCAAAAAGAAGATAACGACTATAAACTTAGAAATGCATGATAAGTTTTAAAACATATATTTTCATTTCTTAAATTAGCACTTCAAGCTATTTTCCTTCTTCAGTTAGTAATACATATAAGCACAGTTAGAAATAGTAAAAACTACATATAAAGTTCTTTTAGATTCGTTTTTTTTCACACTTCATGTATTATACAAATTAATAGTCCCATTAACCATCTACTAAAAACTTCTTTCTGCTTTTCTCTAAGGATAGAGTGGATTTCAGTCTTGCAGAAAATTAGTCTTATCTTCAAACGTGATAACCTAAAATTATCATGACATTCTTGGAAGCCAATTATGTCTTTGCTTTAGAGCATCCATGCAACTCAGAGTTACTGAATCGATATATCTATATGGGAATAGACTATTCATCGAACCGATTTCTCAATGGAGATAATTTTAATTTAATGAAAACAATGGTTACAAGGCCTGATAATCGAGCGATTAATAGTGCTTCAAATAATAAATCATGCATTTCAGAGTGTTATCGATCTCCATTAAATTGCTTGTTTGATGGCTCTTAGATGAAAGAATTGAGGAGAAAAAAATTCAGCTTTTTTATTCACAACTTATCATTTGGTTAGATTACAGATGTCGCATGCTGAGAAGATTTTTTTTTTATAATGAAAATATTATTTTTGCATTTTTGTATAATTAGATTAAAACTAAGAAAATTTTTTAAAAGTATGAATTAAAAACCATGGAAATGAGACAGATCTGGGTATGAGTACAATTTTGAAATTTTTTGTGTCATCTTCTCTGAACAGTACTTTTCATTCTAATGATTTGTAGAGTAAACGTGTCAATGGCAAATCGTTTTGAAATACAAATAAGTAGTAACTTTTCCATTTTTTATGGTGTACATTCTTACAGAGGTACATTTTAAGCTTTAATCCATCTATTTACATTCAAAAATGTGCTTACAAAATTATTTTAATGTAATCATCCCAAATATTCATTTTACCTACGCTGTTTTTTCTCTAGTAATAAATAAAACTTTTAACATGAACTTTTTTTCTAAACATTTAGTCGTTGATATTTTTTTTAATATTTGAAAAAGTGAATGTTTAAAACATTATAAAAAATTTACGTTAAAGTAATTTGAGAGAATAAAAAATTATTTTGAAAATGAAATCAGTATTTCCTGAGATAAATAATTTGATATTTGTCTAATTTAGACTGAAATGAATTTTAAAATATTGGTTGCAAACTTTCATTATATGAATTATTTCTACGGCTTTAATTTGCTTACAATGACCGTTTTCTTAGAAATTTTGTTAATTGTATTAATTGTATCAATTGTATCAGAATTATCAGATGATATTAATTGTATCAGAATTACTAAATGAATTATTTATATAATGCAGCCATTTATACTTCCAAGTTTACCATAAAAACAGTTTTTTGCAAGGTTAAAGAAATAAAATTCCAAGTTCGTTGCATTTTTAGCAATTGACTAATTCGTATCCAATAAATACAATCGCATGAATATTTTTTTTAAATCTTCCATAACTTTAGAATTTGATTTCCTTTAGGACTTATATAATTCCAGAATACATCATGGCAAAATGCATATTCCGGTTTAAGAAAATTTTATATACTTTTTAAAAGTATTAAAACGTTTTTAAAGTCTTTTGCTGAAAAGTTACTGAAAAATAAGTTTTCAGTAGTTTCATGACTTTACGACATAGAAATTTAAATATTAACAAAAATGAGACTCGGTATTAGTGAGTTAAAGTTGAAATGGAAGAACAAACGTACCCAGCAATGGAATGGATTCTGATGTCTCTGGCATTTTTTCAGCGATCGCCAACATAAAAACAGAAAACGCCAACAGGACAGTTACGCCAAGAGCTATCTTCTCCCCGGAATCTGGTGGAAGGCAGAAGACGAGAAGAGTTAACACTGACATCATCATACAGGGCATCACTACATTGTACATATAGTACAATGTCTTCCTCCGAATCACCAGTGTTATCGTAACATCTGGAAAAGGTTCCACACAACACGAATAGTACACTACGTTCCTGACTATTCTGGCATCTAACAACTCCCACTCACCGTTTGGCACATAATTTGATAGGTCCACTTCTGATGTCCTGGAAGTTTAATAACATGGGAAAAGTTTAGAAATAAAAATGAATGAATTGCTAAACATAATGAACATAATGAACATGCTAAACATAATTGCTAAACATAATGATAAACATAATGTCCTAAATGCAAAAGAAGTAATAAAAAAAGCGGGAAAATTTCAAATATCACAGAAATGGACATATGATCTTTTCGATACTTTTTATTTGTATCATTTAGGTAACATCTTCATCATTATCGAAATACTGATTTTTTTTAGTAATTCTTCAATAAAGAATTACTTTATTATAGCATTGGAAAAAACACGTGCTTGTAAAATCTGTGGAATTATAAGTCAAGTGGTATGTCTCTGAGGAGTACCATGGGTTCAGGGACCTGAAGAAAGTTTCCTTCCCCATCAGATCTTTGTCTAAATTTATTAAGAAGCCTCACAAATGGGTGGTGCTGCCATCTATCTGTGGGGTTCTGAACATAGATGTACTTTCACACTTGCGGTGATCACTTGTCAAACGAAAGGAGCTCTTTTTTCTTGACTTAATTTGCAAAATGTCATTGGTTGGCGAGTTTGGCTTATTCATGCGTCATTAAAAGTAGCAACAACAGATCGCATGTCTGTTTATGTGACATTGTTTATACTTTTTCACTTTTTAGTTCACTATATTTTCGAAGTGATAGAACATTTCACTTTCGGAAAATGATAATCTTAGTCACGAAACAATTACAATATTTTTCTTTTCCTTTTTTTTAATAAGAAAGGAAACGCTTGGTTGCTGTTAACGACCTGATTTAATTATTAGGAAGAATATATTAATGCTATTGTCGACGTTCAGCTATTTACATTTTTACGTATTGTACTGAGCGCAGGGTTTCACTGGGATTGAAGATGGATGAAATCGTCCTTAAGGCTTCAAAATTTTATTTTCCGAAATTTCCAAAAAATATGGCTGTTTAAAACTCTCAATTACAGGTCTAATGGCAGAGTAATACAGAAAAACACAGTCTTCAAAACCTAGGAAGAGTCAATTAACTAATTCTTTTCAGATCATTACTAAAATCGCAGTCAGATTACTCCCTCTATTGGTATACAAAATGAACGGTTTATCGAGCTGGAGTATGTAAGTAGTGATCTGACCTAAATATTTCATCGACCAATACTAGGTTATGAAGCCTGTTCCTTGTTGTATTGTCATGTTTCAAAGATATTTAAATAGTTAAAATTTATTTGCTTTTAATATCTAATATCTATCTTTAAATCTAATATCTTTATCTATAAGTCTAATATCTGATAAATATTTTAATTTTCATAAAATTAACATTAAAAAAAATTTAGCTTCATCTAAAAAGTTTTGAGGAAAAATTCATAAAAGTTCTAAAAATTATCTAGCTTTATTTCATCTGATCTAATATAGGGACCCTTTTATTCCATACCTTATTTGAAAGGTATTGTGCTGTCTAATAATACTATCATCAAAAAGTTTTCAAGTTCAAAAAAATATCTAGAAAACGCAATTTAAAAATTTATCCTGCAATCCAAGATGGTGCGGGTAGAGGTCTCTAAAAGGAATAATAAAGTTAAAGGATAATATTTATAAAAAATACAGCCTTTTATTTTTTAATGCATGAACCAAAAACTTTTCTGGGTTATCTTTGAATTTGTTTATTTATTTACTAATTTATTTTTTTAAATTTTTGGTTACTATTGACATTGTTACTATTAACAAAACTATTGACACGGTTTAGTTACGCTATTGGGAACTCGTTAAATGTTTTTGACAAAAAGATCATCTAACACTACTGCAAATAGTTAATTGCTAGTACTTCTTCATAATTTAAAATAATTATTTTTTTATAATTATTTTCATTACTTAAATTTATTGTTACCTATTTTCTTACATGCAATATATTATGAAAATAAAACTTTTTGATAACTAAATATAACTTATTTAGCGTTAAGTAATTGTAAACATGCTTATTGTAAAATGCTGCGTAATTAAATAATATCATAGAGCTACTTTAAAATATACATAACAACATAATTTTTAGTTTAAAGCCTTTAGTTTGGAATAAAATGGTCATGATTTTTTCTTTTAACTTTTGTAAAAACACAAAAAATATGTGAAAAGACAATCTAAGATAAATATAAATAATAGCTAAATTTAGTTAAAGATAATTTCAATAAATGCATATTAAATATTTCTGTAATCACAATAGAACAGAAAAAAAGTACCGCTAAACAAGTGATAAATAAATGATTTTCAGGAACTCTTTATTAATTATATCCTTTATTAATTTTACGTTAATGACAGCCAAAGATTTACGGTTCTTCTTTGTTAATTAAGAATACCATCAAATGAATTTTCCGTACTATGAGAATGTCCCGAAAACAATGAGAAACAGCTTCAGATATTATCTTTTATGTTTTATGACGAAATAAATATTTTGAGATTTAAATTTTTTTTTTATAAATAGATTTTCATTACAAAATGAATCACCATTATTTAGACTTATAGGAAGATCCATCCTCGCTTCGCTATAGAACCCCCTGATTTGTAGTCACTTTTGTTAAAGTTAGTAAAAAGTTAGTAAAGTTGTTGTAGTTAGTTGTTTTGTTTTGTAAATATATCACCATTATTTAGACTTATTGGAAGATCCATCCTCGCTTCGCTATAGAACCCCCTAATTTGTAGTCACTTTTGTTTCTTATTGCTAAACTAAGATGTTTTTTGAATATAAAGTTTAAATCAATTGATATAGTGTTTTATTTACTCTTACTCACGGCTCAATGTTCGCTTCCAAAATATTTTGCGATTTGAAATACACGTATGAAGGAAAGTTTTGCTTAACTAAGAGCCTGATAATCAAGAAACCACCCTCAAATTCATAAAATTCTTTTGCAGAATCCAGTTGTCAGTAAAGAGGGTCATGACTCCAAAATGGGAAGAGGAATGACGCAGGTTAAATGATTTATAAATTCAATTATTTCATCATTTTAAGTTTCATTGTATCTGCGCAACTATGCATATAGCAAAGTATAAGTAAAAAAGAAATAGATATTATCTTAAAAAACTTTTAAATAACGTGAAAGTTAAACAAATCCTTGACACAGAGTTAATCATAATACCTGTTCATGACGTCCACTTGTAAACCATCATAAATCCAAGACCCCATTTTCATTATGCAAGTTTGGTCATCAAAAGGAAAATATGTAACGTCCACGGGACACGTACTTCTTAATTTCGTGGGAGGTGGCCAAAACACATTTCCACTTGGTTCCAACATTGCTCTTGAATTCATGTATCCACGCGTGTAGTCATCAGCGCTAGAAAAAGAATCTTCAAAATTTAAACTAAAAAATCAAAGAGAAATAAACAAACGAACCGTGGAATCAATTTTAGCATCAAGGTCTGAACTCAATTAACAGATCTTTTGATCTGAGCCCTACAATCAGAAATGCCTTTAACTTCGAAGGGTGCATCAAAGTTCAGAGTTTTATTATTATTGCTTTTTAAGATAGAAAACTAGTAATTTAACACTAGAATATTCTCAACTACATTTTTATCGCGAAAATTAAACGATATCTAAGTAATTTTTGTGACATCATTGATCTGAAACTCTCCTTCTCTGCCATACTTATTCTATTGAACACTAAACGATGTTCAATTCATTTTTATGCTTTTTTGTAGCTCCTATTTACCATATTTCAACCAGAGTCTTATAATCAGGAATTGTTTTACTTCGACAAATACATCCATATTAAGAGTTTTATTATTATTGTTCTTTAAGGTTGAAAACTAGTAATTTAACTCAACTCGTTGAAAACTAGTAATTTAACTAATTTAACTTAACTCAATTAACTAGAATATTCTTAACTACATTTTTATCGCGAGTACTAAACGATATCCAATTAATTTTTGTGACATCAGTGTTCTGAAACACTCATTCTCTATTCTCATTAATTACCATATATATTTTATTCAAGACTGAACGGTGTTCAATTAATTTTTATGCCATCTCTATTCTGAAGCCCTTACAGACCATATTTGTTTTATTGAGTACTAAACGCTATCCAATTAATTTTGTAGCTTTCAATCTCTACCATATTTATTTTATTGAGTACTATAATATGCAATTAGTTTTGTTTTGTTTAATAACTCTTTGAAAGTTCACCGTTTTTATTATTAATTATATTGAGTACTAATTAATTTTCATTTAATCGCTCTCTTTCTCTACATTATTTATTATGTTGGGGTTCAAACCTTATCCAATTAGTTTTTGTTTCATCAAATTTTCCGTTCTTATTTATACTAGTACAAAAGTCGAAACTTCAACATGATAACGCTGCAACATACAACGCTGAAACAAAAGAAAAGGGGAGTAATGCCAATTTTTCAAGATTTTCTAACATTAATAGCCTCTATGCTTGCTATATTAAAAGTTGGCTGAATCCAGTGCCTTAAATTATAATAGGCTTGATTTTAATGGCATAAAAGTTTGGAGAAGATGAAGAAACTTTCGTGGTGGTGAGGAGACCAAAACTTGCTGCCTAGTGGCAAAAACCTGCTGCCTAAAGGCTAAAAAATTGTGTTTTTGATTGTTGAGATAAGGCACTTGGAAAAGCTTAAATTCGTTGCGCCCTAAATTCAATATTATTGCATTGTAGTTTTATTAAATTTAATTTGTTTAAAAAGAAACTAGATAGAAAATGATTTGTGGAAATTATTAACACTCCATACATAATAATTATTTAAAATTTTAAATCCAAAATATTCTAAAAATGGGAAGTAAATTGTTAAGAAAGAAGAGTATCTACTACAATCAGAAAAAAGAAATGAAACTTTAAATTTTTTTCAGACTATCTTAAAAATTCCTAAAATAGAAATATTTCTATCATTTTCCCTTGCATATTTTAAAATATGCGAAGACGTCTTAAAGATGAACAATTTTTCAAATTTTCAAAAGTATTGAGACATCATCGATTTTCAAAGGTTCTTCACAATAGGTAGGTGTTAATAAAAAGTTGCAAAAAACTTTTTGAAGCTTTTCTTTTATGTCTTTCAAGCAAAATACTTTTGAATCATTTTTCTACAGAAAAGAAATTGAAAAAATATATTTCCTTCGAAAGCTAACTTCTTTTTCTTACTTTTTATTTCCATTTAAAGGAAATAATGATAGATCGAAATTTATTTTTCTGTTGAATAAAGAAATACGAAAAAGTACATCACAAAATAATTCATGATGGAATTTTATTGAAACATTATATCAAAAAGAGCTGCCAATGTATATTAAAATAAGTTAATTTTAAGGGAAAATATTTGCTAGGTTTTATAAATGTAAAAAAAATAATAAATGTCTTCAATTTAAACACTAGTTCTACACTAATAATTTAAACACTAATTAATCTTTCCTTTGTTTTCGTGAAAGTATTTTAATTGATAATTACACGGAGAAAAAAATTCTTCTAAAATTATCGCACTCTATGACAATAACACTTCAGGTTAAAAAAGAACAACAACATAATTTTGGTTAATAAAACCAAAATATACGGTATTTTAGCATTTGATTTGATAATTTTTCCAATCATAAGGTAACGGTTTACCGGAAATTCTGGTTTTCAAAATTATAGTTCGCAATTTATAGTTTTGAAAACTACTCATTTAGTATAGGATACAAACTAAAAAGTAAAGTTTAGCATGATAAAATTTCAGGATTTTATCACATTTTATCTCAAAATTTGTCACACATTATAAAACCATATTTTATTGCTAATCTTACATAAATAATAAAGTCATTACTAAAGTACTTCGACAAAATTGCGGAGTTTTTTGATATTTCCATACAGCTAAACTATTAGAAACTTCTCGAAAAAATTTTTACCATATTCAAACAAACCAGTTAAATAACCATAAACAAGACAGTATTCAAACTGTTAACTGTGAGAAAAACCGTTTATTAACTGCTTTTTCACATTATGGTTAAACGATCAGAATTTTATCGCTGCAAACTAAGCCCACCTAATGAAGCCATTAAGTTCCTGGCAATTGCGTACATATTACAACAGAGGGGGCTAATCAGTCAATCTCATGACTGACAGAATTGGGGTTCTATTTCCAGCGTTTATGCCACAATATTACCGCTATTTCCTTCAACACATGAAGATTTTCCAGGGCCCAATGTCCATTAACTAACAAAAAACCTAGCTTCCATGTTCAGGCAAAAATTGTTCTGGTTTTGAAACCATGTTAGTTGCAAATGATTAAAAATTGTATAGTTTTGTATTCATTGTATGATTTATTGTTATACCCATGCTAGTTGTAAACGGTTTCAAAATCATAGAGGTAAAAAGGTAGTTGTAGAGCTCATAGCCAAGCTCATAGCTTATAATATCATAGCCAAGTAATGCAGTAAGAGTTAAAATGTGTGATGTATAAGAAATTTCTTTTAACTTTGATTTTAAATAAAGTTTAAGAACTGTTACTTTTTATCTTGTTTCAGTTTTTTTTATAAATAAGTATTTAAAAGTCTTTAATCGTGCATTTTACTCAGAATATTAATTTAGCTACTATTTCACAAATTGAGTTATAATTTCTCAAAGACAATTATTTTTAAATAGAATACAATCAAACAAGAAATTCACCCATTTTTTAGGGATAATGAAGAAAAAATGGATACCTTAATCATATTTATTTATTATTTTTTTGACGGATGAGGGAAGAAAAAATATCTGTAGTGGTGTTTAATCATCTCGTAGAAAGAACAGAAAGAACGAAGCAACAGAAGCACGAAACGATAATCAAAAGAAAATAATTGATATAATCTATCATTTAAGATAAATCTTCTATGTTTTTTAATAATTAAGGTGACATTCTTCAAAATGTAAATGATTACTTTTATATAAACTATTAGAAGATGAAATTGTATTTATTTTTATTATTAGTTACTTTTGTATCACAGATTCGTATTACAAATATCTTTTTTCACTTTGTGTTCTTATTTATTTTTTTAAAAAATACATTAGCAGTCATTGCTTTTTATTAGGTTTTAAAACTTTCCATTCTTAAGACAGGGCGCCATTTATGCGAAGAAATGTTGTCCATGAAAGACAAGCTTACAATTCAGGGTCGCTTAAATTTTGATGCTGCCAAAGAAGACAACGCGTTTTCATTGCTGAGTAAATTCTGAGGCATATATTTTCCCTTTTTGCTGAGAAGGGCTGGTCACTCAATTTTTTATCACAGTACCTTTTCCTTCTTGAAGTATTTAGTATTTATTTCAAGAGGCCCATAAACAACCGGGTCTTGAAAGAATTGACTAAGTGCGGCAACAGCAAATTCAGCCATATATGTGTTTCAAAAGGCCATTTACTCAAAATACTGCTCCATGACTCTTACTTTAAAAATAAATATTTTCTTAAAGATTTTTTATTTAAAAAAAAGAATTTTTTGTACTGAAATAACGTATAGCGTAAATATATTTAAAAATATTTTTTCTTTACTATTGTTTCACTAAAAGAGTATGGGTATGGAATACGGAAACACTTCTACACTAATACATTTTTTAATATTTCTCAAGAAATACTTAAGGAAGCATTTTATAGCTTCAGAAGTGTGCAGATCATGCGATTTCTCATATTTATCAAGGAAGTTTAAGGCCTTTACACTTTTAAGGGATAAACAATAAATTACGATCGAAAAATAGTGTTTTTTTTAACAACCTATGCCAAAATATGTAGCAATAAATTTGTAACTTGAAGCAATATTTTTGGTTATTACATGCCATAATTGAGCAAAATTTCGTAAACCTAACTTAAATACTTATGGAGATATTCACAGTTTTATTAGAAACTAACTTTTTTGTCTTACGTTTTTTTGCTATAATTTTGAGAATATTCAATAAAACTAAACAAAATTTTAAAATTAATTTGAAATTAGTTATAGAATTATTGTTTTAAAATTTAGAAAATTTCATCACAAATTGCGCTAGATATAGGTAATTAAAGTAGTTCTTTCATGCGCTGGTAAAGTTTGAAATGTTTTTCTTAATTTTGAAAAAAAATCGTATTTGGCAATTCATGAAAAAGTCCGATTTGAATATCTAAAAAATTTAAAAAGTCTAATGCACTTTTCTAAGTAGTTTTTGTATTTTCTAAAAGAAACGCAAAATGATGTTGGATTTTGCATAAATTTAACTTTGTACTATTAAATAAAATTTATTAAAAATTGGAATGGCATTGTTTGGGATCATCCCCATAAAAGTATCTTTCTGCATGTTATCTTTTCTTATACAATTGTATTTCTGTGTATGAACATTTATTGTATGGCATTAACATTTGTAATTTAATTTTGTCTCATGATAAAAAATAATGTTTGCAGAAAGCCCCTTATGATTTTGAGTTTCTTTTAAAATGCAAGAACTACTTAGAAAATTACTTAAATTTGTTTATATTTTAATTCAAATCGGACTTTTTCATTAGTTTCCAAATACGATTCTCTACAAAATTAAGAAGAAAAAAAATTAAACTTTTTATTATATCTCCATAAATACTTAAGCTAAGCTTATGAAAATGTGTGCAATTATTGCATTTAGTAACAGAAATAATTGCTGCAAGTTATAAATTTATCGTTACTTTTTCTGGCATAGGGTGTACAAGAACACTATATTCCGTCTGTAATTTATTGTCGGTCCCTAAAAAGTCTAAAAGCATCAAACTTCATTGATAAGTATGCGAAATCACATATACTTAACTCTTACAAATTAATAAAATGATTCTGGAAGTATTTTTTGAGAAAAACCAAAAATTGTGTTAGCATGGAATTGTTTCCATCATTTTGCCCACCCCCCGTTAGTATTTTACAAATTGAAGCAAAATAAATAAATAAATAAAAGAAACAAAAAAGAAATAAATAGAGAAGGCAACTAGATCTCCACGAGAAACGAACTATTTCCATATATCATCCCATTTATTTATTATTATTAGGAGAGCTGTGCTTAATTACTTTGCATCAAACTCTAGTTATCCAACTTTCTAAATTTACCTTACCCTTCTTTTCCTTTTCTTATCTCAGAAATATCAACATCAGAATTTAGTTGCAGGATTTTTCATCTTTGATAAATATCATACTTGAGACATTACTTAATGAAATTGAAACAAGTGAAACAATTTTTGAAATAAAACAAATCGCTCAAATCTTAAAGTTAAAAAATCACTAAAACATCGCCCATGTTGTTTAGAAAATGATGGAAAGTCTTCAAATCCATAACTGTCTTTTTCGAAGAATCCAAAACTTTAGATCCCAAAGTATTTTTTACTTTCCTTCAAAGGAAAAAAATATCTTCCATGGCAAAGTAGTTTATGATGCTTTTTCTATTGCATTCTATTTTCAGCAACATGCAGAGATACATAGTAATTCATAAAGCGAACTTTCAGGAAGTAGCTCGACTATAAAATCATGCAATGGTTGTTCGTAGATTTATATAATGGGATTATAATGACGACATCTGAAAAGAAACGCTGCTGTGAAATATTATCCCAATATCAAATATTAGGGACATGCATCTTTTTGACGTGTAGTTTTTCATAAATGTTTTGTTAGATGTTTTACTTTAGCCAAACTAATAAATTAGGAAAAACGCATACCCATGGTTGATTTTCGTATGATATTATAATTCAAATTTTATTAGCAACGAATTTTTCAAAATGTTGCAAAACAGTTTTGGAGCTGTGGTTTTATTTGATATAATTGGTTAAAACATTGTAAGACATTTAAAAAGTATGAAGGTTTCTGAATCATTATTTATTATTTACAACTGCCTCACACTTAATATGGTTCCATATTAAATGAAATTTTCGTATATCTTAAAATTTATTACATTATACAGTAACTTAACTTCAACCGTCGAGGTTTAATTTAGCACATTTTGTCAAATATTATGGTTCAAGGTATTGATAATTTAGTTCAACGTACAACAAACGTTTGTGAAAATTAGTTTAATATACTCGATAGTACGATTTTACTCACTTTAGTTGTATTCTGAAATTATATTTATGATTGTCGTATTAAAAACATACACTGAACAGCTAATTGAAATTTAAAAGAAGTAGATTTTTGACTATTGGAGATATTTTCCGTCAGAAATGCGCAGTTTCTTTTCTTTATATTTTTTATTATTTTTTTCTTTTTTGCATTTCGCACATCTTAATTTTACACTATACAGTGGTCCAACTTAGACTGAAGCATGGTTCAATTTAACACGTCATAACATTTGAAAAATTATAATATTTGTCAAACGGTATGGTTGAAGGATCTAATAATTTTGCTCAAAGTGCAATGAACGCTTTTGAAAGTTCAGTTATCTTAATGTTGTTAGTTGAATCTTAAAATTGTGTTTATGATTGCCCAATTAAAAACATTCACAGAACAGTTTATTTAAATTAAAAAATGGTTTTTTAACTTTTGGGAATATTTTTTGACTGAAATTGTAGAGTTTTTTTTCCTTTTTTTAAAAACATTTTTCTTGTTTTTTTGGCATTTACGCCGTAATTCGAAAGTTAATTTCTCCCGCGGATATAATGTTGGTGGCACCTAAATAAAACGTACATTAAGCAATAAATTTTAATAGACATAATAACACTTTTAGTGGTTTTCCAGGATTTTTCTTACTAACATTATATATGTTTTTTAATATTAAAATTAATAATAAGAATAATAATATTACTTGTTATATAAAACAATATCAGGAAGCCATATCTTTTCACAAGGCACGCGAATCTTGGTCAGATTACCGTATTCAGTTGGGTTCCAACTTAAATAATCATCCATCCATTCCTATAGAAAAAGTAAATCCAAGTTGATTAAACTGAAATTATTTAAGTGAAATATTATTGTCTCAGAGTACCTAAAAATAAATGCATAAAAATATTGTTCTATGTGCATTTTTTAAAAGCTTTTAAGCAGTTTTATATAAAAATGCTGTAGTCTTTTCAGCAACAATAAGACATTATAATGTTTTTCTCATTGACGATTTTTATAAGAAAAGCTACTATTCAAATTCTAAAGGAGTATTTTTCGTTTAAAAAAAGAGCATTGAATATTTATTTTGTATACAATCAGTTAGATACACTGAGTTTAGGCTGAAAATAATAAAATACTAACATTTTTACATTATGTTACACCTGTGTGAAAGGTATTGTTTTATTTTGTAGGTAAAAAAGGAAAATGTTTTAATTGGTTTTGAAACAAATACAGATGTAAAATAATTATCATTACTACCATAAAAATAGAATGGTTAGAAAAACTAGCAAAACGGAAAGTTTATTTGTTATCAAAGAAAACATTTATGATTCTTTTAAAATCCGGAAAAAAATTTTTGAAAATAAATTTTTTGATGCCAATTAAGTGTGCATGAAAAGCACGCTAATGTGCATTTAAAATTATGCATTGCACTCTTATTGAAAGAAAAGCTATCGGCCAAGTAGCAAAGAATTCTGGTTCAAGTTACGGTATAAAATACCGACACTTTGGATGCATCATCTATAAAACCCATTTTTACCGTATAAATACAACACAGTAATTTTTACAGTGATATTTATTTATTTAAAGAGATTCAGTGATTTTGCGGTAAGTACTTCTGTAAATCTTACGGTATATCAGATTTTTTTGACCAGTAACATGTTCCGGTAAAAATGTAATTTACGGTAAAAAGCACCGGTACCATGAGAGCTAGTGATTCTGAATTTTTTACTAGGTAGTGAGCAGTGTGACTTTTTAAACAGCAAAATGCCACAAAAAAAAATTTACAAAGTCATTACATCTACAAGTGTCTATTATTTCCTTTCTTAAACATTAAACTAGTTTTATGAATCAAATTTTAACCCCTTCCGAGACCAATTAAAAAATGTAACTAAGAAATCACTTTAAGGAAAAAGCGACAAAAGATTTAGTGGATGACTAGTAAGTATTTACACAATCGTTTCCCATAGTAGAATAAAGGACCTAAACGACTCTCTTTTGGAAAGCGTTGGTGATAAACGATCACTTCAAGCATCAACGAGCCATAAAACGAAGTAAGACTCAGAGGAACCACTAAAACTCTTGAGTATCCATTGAAACAATTATTCTTTATTTATATCTTCTGTGGTTTGATTTTTGTTGATTTTATTTTAATTTGTTTATTTATCTTCTAAGTAGACTTTGAATATATATTTGCGTTTTGCTTATTTTGTTATTTTGCTTTGCTTTGTTTTGTTTTGCTTGTTTTTATCACTAAGATAAGAGAGTGAAATTACACTAGAAAAAAATCGAAGCTTCCTGAAGATGTAAAAGAAAAATTTATTTGTGGCTGGAAATAAAAATTGATTTTTTTTTCTTTATTTAAAATTGTTAAAATTTTTTTTTTCAAAAAATGTAATTTTTTTCACTTTAATTAATTAATAATACAATTTGCTTAAATTACGAGTTATTAACTTATTAATTCGGAAACAATTAGTGAGACAGATGAATACTTTTCAGGTAGCAAGGATTCATAAAATAAAAGTGCGACTTAAAAGAACCATTAAAACTCTTGAGTATTCATTGAAACATATATTCTTATTTATATCTTTTGTGGTTGGATTTCCGTTGTTTTTATTTTAATTTACTTATTTATTTTCTAAGATAACATTGAATTTATTAATTTGCATTTTGCTTGTTTTTATCACTAAGATAATAGAGTAACTACACAAAACAAAATCGGAACTTCCTGAAGGTGTAGAAAAACAATTATTTTAAGGCTGAAAATAAAAATTGAATTTTTTTTCCTTATTTAAAATTTTAAATCAACACATTTTTTTAAAATTAATAATTAAAAATTTTTTTTTTTCAAAAATTAAAAATTTAGAAAAAACAATGCTTTTTTAAGAGTTTTAAGTAATTTTTTTTTACTTTAATTGTTCAATAATATAATTGAGTTATTATTTTGGAATTAATTAGAGTCACAGATGATTATTTCAATCAACAAAGAGTCATAAAATCAAAGTATGAGCCAAAGGAAAAATTAAAACTCCAGAGCATTCATTAAAACATGTATTCTTATTTATAAATTTTGTGGTTTAATTTATGTTGTTTTTAGAGTTCAATTTATTTATTTATCTTCTAAGTAAACTCGGAATATATCTTTTCATTTTGGTTGCTTTCATCACGAAGTAAACAGAATATTAATTTGTTCCTTATTTAAAAGTTTTGAAATGGTATTATTTTAATAATAATTAATTACCCATGTAATTTGATCAAATTAATAATTATTAACTTAGTTCGAAAAAAATAGTTTTAGATGTTACTTCAAGAAGTAAGGAGTCACAAAAAATGGGACTCAAAGGTGCGACTAAGACTTTAAAGTATTTATTGAAAAAATTCTTCTTATTTACATCTTTTGTGGTTTGATTTCTGTTGCTTTCCCTTCAATTTATTTTCTAATTAAACTTTGAATATGTATTTGAATTTTGCTTGTTTTTATCACGAAGATAAGAGATTAAAATTATACTACAACAAAACTATATTTTCTTCTAAGATGTATAAAATAATCAATTTATAGTAGAAAATAAAAATTAATTTATTTTCTTCACCAAAAATTTTCGAAAAATGAATTTTTTAATAATAATAAATTGTGAATATAATTTAATTTTATTAAAAAATTTTAGTTTACTAATTAATAAGGAAAAAATTGTAATTGATAATTACTTAAGGCAACAAGGAACCATTAAATAAAAGTACAACTTAGAGAAGCCACTGAAACTCTTGAGTAATTCATTAAACCAATTATTCTTTTTTTATTTTTTTTGTGGTCAATTTTTGGTGCTTTTATTTTAGTTTATTTATTTATCCTCTCAGTAAATGTCGAATAAGTATTTGCATTTTACCTGTTTTTATTATGAAGAGAATGAAAATTTACACAAGAATAAAACCGAAACGGCATTGAAGAAGTGAAAAATTAATTAATTAATAGCCGAATATAAAAATTGTTTTTGATTATTTAAAACTTTTGAAAAAAGGATTTTATTTAATATTAAAAAAACTCATTAATTTAAATTCAATGGTATAAATAATTTTACTAATTATAATTTGGTAATAATTACTTAAAGTAGCAGTTGAGTCATAAAATGAAAATAATCGATTTATGACAAGCAAGAGAAAAGTATTTTGATTGTTTTTGAAGAAAAATGTATTGTAATGTTTCCAGTTGCTTTTGTTTCATATTCTTTATCCATTATTCAAGCAAATATTGAATTAATTTTCGCAAATCTTTTGATTTCATAATAAAGTAAAATGCGGAAAATTACGGAGTATAAAAGCGAAGCTTCATGATGTCGAAGAAAAGTATTCCTTTTATTTCAATTTGTTTACTTTCTTTCGATTGAACTCTGTATTTTTTTAATCTTTCTGTTGCTATTATAAAGTTAAGTGCGTAAAGTTGCATTCATATTACCCAACCGAAGCTTCGTCTAGGAAAGTAATTGATTTCTAAAAGAAAAGAAAAATGTATTTTACATAATCATGAAGCTAAGTAATGTGTAAAATAATTATTAATTAATCCATAATTATAGTTCTTTAAATATTTAGTAATTAAGTAAACACATGAATTATTAGATTTTAATTAAATTAATCAAAGTTTTAAATATTTAAAGTGTAATTTCTTTAATTTAAAAAAGATTTCTTAACTCTTTGACGCAGAATTTTTAAAAAACATATTTTTCACACGTTTTCATTATTTTTTTATTAATTTCGGTTGAAATAAGGTAAAAATTTATATTTAGCATATTAATAATTTATGGTTATGAAATATAATAAGAAACATCGTGTCCTTAATTTGCAAAATAAATTACTGATAAATTTTTAAATATGCATGAATTTTTTTTACAAAACTGCTTTATTTGTATTTTATATTTTAGAACACATTTAGTTCCGATAATTTAACAGCTATTTCGGAAACTATTAGACTGTTTTTTATAATAAAAAAATATCAAAGCATATTTTTGACTGCCATTATAGCGTCCCAAAAATCATTAGAACGTCAAAGGGTTAACCTTAAAGAATATTAAATCTTTTTAACTGTGCTGCAATTGTGTATTTTTCATTTAATAGCCGCTAGAAATAGTTTTAATTAAGGGAGAAGTAAATTTGAAATTTTTTTTTAACTGAAACATAATTTTATTATTTTAGGAAACAATTCGTGATAAAAAGTTTCGAATAAAACATTATTCTAATAATTTATTTTAACTTGCTATTCATCAATCAAAATCAAATTTCACATTTCAGTTTAAGGTTAATTAATTTGTGTTTTCGATTATCTTTCAGATGAATTTGATTTAAATAATAAGTTATTGAAACAACTAAGTGAAAAGTGAGTTAGTTTTTCTTTATTTTTTTTAAAATTTGTTTTACATCTGTAATTTATAACCAATTTAATGTTTAGAAAACAACCGATATTATACTTGAAAGAAAAACTTTTGAAATATAAATTTTTTTTAAAGAAAGGAAAAAAAAATAGCTATTCATTTTTAAAGAGATTCAGGAGATATAAAATCTATCTGACCAGTTAAAAACTTTTTGAGAATTTACCCTGTAAAAAATAGTTACTCAAAATTCAGCACAAATATGTAATAAAGCTCCGAAACAAATGTAGTCGAATTTGAAACCCCATGTACTCATTATTAAGCACATTGAATGCTCAAAATTAAAACAGCGTATAGAGAAAAGTAGGATAAGAACATGTATTGAGATTCTTAGGAATATTAGAGCTGAACTGTTTGCTCTAGAAACTGTCACATTTAATCAAGATATTCATTGTTTAGTTGCGTACAATATATCATTCCAGAAAATTCTTAGATGCACTATTTTTAATGAATAATTTTTTTTTATCGAAAAAAGAAAATAATATGGTCTTACACCACTAGTGAGGTAAGACTGAGTACTCAAAGTAACACCATGGGAAATTTAGAAATGCAAGAATTTATGAGAAAAAGTAGCAGGCATTTTTATTTTGCATTACAATTTAAGAATATTCTGCATTTATTTTACATGTGATGCAGTTATCTTCCTCTACTGCACTGTAGCTTTCATGGGACCAGCATGGACACACATCAAGGAGGACATGGGAGTACCCAGTCTTACTTCGAGAGCAGAGGTTAGCGAAATAAAATGGAACTGTCATTATTAGACTAAATCCTTATTGTTTGTTATGGTATAAATCTTTGATAAATGTATAATAAGCATGATTAACAATTAGTTTTATAGCTGTAATGTCCATCAAATAAGACGAATTTGAAAACAAAAGAACATTAGAGAGTTGACATAGCAAAACAAACTTATCTACACCGACGCCTATGAACTAATCAAGAACAATATGGTAGGTTCTTCGTCTTGATAAGTAACGTATAATTCAGAGTCTGTTCATTATAAAAAAGAACTAATTTCGTCACAATCGAGGTATTCGGTCACATTCCAGCCTCTACTCATTTTTTAGCAAAATAAATAGTATCAGCAATGACACATCATAACAAAAGGAACCATCATCATAAATTTAATAAAATTCAAACTTTTTTAGTTTATAAGGAACAAATGTTCGAAAAGAAAGTGAAATTAGATTAAAGTTTGCTGCACTTAGATTTAAGAATATTACATTCTTATAGGAATAAGAAATGTTTTCAGATTGGTAATCAACAATTTCCTATTTTCCCACCATATTTATTTACAAACGAAAACGGAATTTCTTTTTCAATTTTAACCGCGTCACTATACTCAATAATGAGTGCTTGGGATTTTCATACTTGTTTCGGAGCTATTTTATCCCGTTTTTGCTCAATTTTGAGAAATCCTTTCTTGCAAAGTATTTATAAGTAGTTAATCTTTTAGAGAACTTTTAAAGCTATACAGATATTGAAATTCAAACAATTCTGCAGTTTAGGGAAAGTCGAACCAAACACTATAACATTCAAAATTTCAAAAAATAAAAAGGATGAATTTATTAACTTGACTTAAAGTTTCTATTCAAAAGAGGAACTTTGATAAAACGACATTTGAAAGCACTGAACAAATAGCGCAAAAACATCAGGACTGTAGTTTCTTTGAAATTTATCCTGACTTAAAATGTTAAAGTTACAAAAAGTTTAAAAATCTGTTGCCATTCTTTTTAAATACACTTTACACGTCATGAACTATGCTATTTTACGACAGACGAAAGGTTTAACTGTAACTTTTCGCTGTAAGGAAGAATTCAATTTTATCTCGGCACGAAAAGAAAAAAAAATTACAATTCTGTTTATTTAAAAAATCAAACAAAAAGTGCATCCTCTGTAAGATGTTTATCAAAAGTTTTTTTTAAAATTTTTTAGACACTTAAAATTGAAAGTATTTGCTAGTAATATTTAAATTATTCTCTGGTTGTATTTAATCTGGTAGAAAAAGTTTTACTTAGCAGTAATTTTTTTACAAGTCTAATTCTTTAGAAGACTTAAGATGTTTCAGCACACATATTTGTTCATACAACGTATATAGATACAGTTTTTTTCCTGAGCTTCAGAAATAAAACTTTATTTTATAAAATGGAAAAAGTAAGCAGCTTAGTTCCATGTCTCTTTCCTCTTGAAAGAGTAACAAATTGAATTATAAAATGAAAAATATTAAATTGTAACTTTTTTTTCCCGTTTATCATACATTTTCTAAAAATAAATATATTTAAAGTCATCATAAATTTGTAAAAATCTCCTTATGTCTAGAAAAAATCATTTCAGTAAGCACGACATCAATTTTTGTAGTCTATGCAATTGGAATAAATTCAAATTTCTTTTTTCAACCGGACTAACTATATAGTTTTAAAATACCTTTAAAAAAAAGCCTTTTTCTTACTTTATTACGAATTTTTAGCACATGTAGCCCATGTTATTTTAAAAAGTCGATGTATTTTAATTTTCAACCTAAGTTTTATTTTTTTTACCCTATTGTCTTATATTTGTAGTTTGATATCTGACCTTTGAACATTTTTTCCTTTGCCTCATTTCATGAAAGCCATACTCTTTAATATTTAAAAGTCATGTAAATGTTTGTTAAATATCTACAGTTCACAGTTTCAAATCTTTACAAATTTGAAAAATCAGAAGTGCATTGAATTGAAACAATATTTAAAATCACATTTCAAAGCTACTTACTTGATCTAACCAAACATTAGTAGTCAAAACTTGATTTTTTTCATCCTAAAAGTAATTAATGAAAGGCATTTTTAATTGTCATTGAAAGTATTACATGACAATTTTTGAAAAGAAAAAATTAAGCAAATAAAAATTGTTTATTTATTTAGTATAATAAGGTGACTTACTGTTTTGATCAAAAATACAGTGATCACAAAGCACAGTAAGTTGCATTCAACTATTTCTGATAATAAAACTAAAATATACAGAATTTAAATAACTTATTTGGTAATTTTCCCTGCTCACTAGAAATTCTGGTTATCAAAATTATATTTCCTATTATTTTACATATAGTAAAAAAATGCGAAACTGAAAAATAAATGCAACCAAATATATGGTTTTTACGCCATACTCTAAAGTAACATGATAAAATTACCAAATTTTTCCTTATTTACCAAATTTTTGACACATTATACACCAAAGCGCTTCGGTAAAAATTCCGGTGCTTTTTGGTGTGCATACAGTGTCAGAAGCACAGTAAATTTCGCCATATTCTGGTAGATTTAACAATAGTGTTTGTTCTTAGTTGAGAAGCATATTTTTAGTCTGAAGAATGATAAAAATAATTTACAAAACCGAAGGTATGATACATAACAAGGAACTCTTCAGCAATACTATTAATATTTTTAAACCCTATAGAAGACTTAGCCCCCTGTTCGTTTTGCTCCAAAAGCTCCATGATTGCTTTATCACTTTTTTCCCTGGTGGTGAAGCAAATATTTCATTCAGAAACAAAATTTATTCTGTTTCATATATTTTAAGCTGTTGTTACTCATGACAGAGTTACGTACAACTCCTTATTCTCTTGTTATTTTGAACGCAGTTAAAAACATCTATTGACAACGAAACTAACTCGTTTGTTAGAAGTTGTCCCCAAATGAAATTAGTAAGCCTTCATGTCATTTGCATACATAGCAGAACTATATAAACCTCTCATGTTTGCTTAACAACAGCAGGACTTAAATTTTTGATCATATGAATCCTGGAAATAGTTTTTAGCCGCAATGTCCTTTGTACTGAGAATTTCCCTATTAGTACACTGTAAAAGAATTCGAATCAAATTACGGTAAAAAGTACCTGCGCACTACCGTAACATCATTGAATCACTCAAAATAAACATTAATATAAAAATTAGGGTATAATATTTTAGGGTTAAATGGATGATGCACCCAACGTGTGGATACTTTATACTGTACTTCGATCCGGAATTTTTTACAGTGTATGTGTCACATTTTTCTCGCTTCGCATATCAATCCTTGCCTTAACTTCTCAATGATTTTCATATATCATCTCAATTTATTTTATATTATAACTCATGATAAATAACTTATTCTAGGTGCAAAATTTGAGAAATTAACGTTTATATCCAAGCCATAATTAGAACTAATTCGCTTTCTCTTAGTTCTTGTTTCGTTTATAAATATATGATTTTTATCTTATGATCAGTACTTAGATTTCTCAACTATATTTTATTTCACTTCATCATATATATTCATTCCTGTCCACACACTATGACACATAATTAATTATAATCTAAGTAAAATTATACGAAATAAAATTATTTAACTTTAGTGCATTCACTAAATTGATGGTGTGCATGAAATTCTGTTGATAGCAAAATCTTTCATCGCATTAATATTAAGTAGTTTTTAATAAAACTAAGAGGACAAGCATTAAGACAAAGTCATATTTAGAGGCATCTGTTGAAGGCCGTCACAAAGAGTAGAGAACCACTAAATGTTCTTCATTTTTCTAAAGCGTAAACAGCACTTCAACCCTACTAACTACCAGTAAGTTAAATTTTGTTACTTCTGAAATGGTCTATCAGCATGACATTTTTCACTATGTAGGTGGATTTCTTCGCTACAAGTTTAAAATTTAATAATTCTTGAATTAATAATTGAGTCTTTTTTTTTATAACCGTCGTTGAATAGCCGACCCAATTTTATGGGTTTACGACTACTAATGTTCAATTCAGTAGGCTTGTAATTTTGAATGCAATCCAGAAGACAAGGGAACTCCTGGATCGAGTATTGGTAGAAATTTGCCTTCGTGGCGTACTTTTTGATGGAACTAACCCGCATTTGCGTTACATGGAGAGGAAGACAACGAGAACCTCCCACGGTTAGCCTGACGACTAGGGGACCATGATCAGTCTACAACTGAGGATATTTCACGTCAGCACTGTGGTCGGTGCAAGTCGGATGCAGAATTCGTATCGACTGGGATTCGAACCCGGTTCGCCTCATTGGAAGGTGAACGCCCTATCCCCTGAGCCATCGCGGCTCAATAATCGAGTTTTAAAATTGTTATTCTTCCGAACTCTTCGCACACTTTTCTACACACCTTTGTAATTTCAAGTCTTTAAGTCTTACAGATTTTGTGCCGCAACAAAACAAAACGTAACCAAAAGCAAAAAAAAGTGGGTAAAAGTTCACAATAAAACACTTAAAATAATTGGAACAAAAAAAAGTTTGGGTGAAATTCAGAAACAAAAAAGGCTCTAATGGTATGTCAAATTTAAACTCTGTTGCTCGAAGGGATGCCAGCATGATATTTTCCCTTCAAGTTTAATAGTTATTAATTCACGATCCAATAATCGAATATATTAAAATTTTTTATTCCATTGTACTATTTTAAGTGTTTTCGCCTCTATTTCGTAATTCCAAGTTCCTAAGTCAAATAAATTTTGCGTAGTAAAAAACGTTAAATATCTAAAAAAGCGACGGCACATGAGAATTCTTTCATATTTGGATGTAGGAAAGACTTGTCCTTTCTTTTTGTTGACAGATTTAGAATTTTGTCTAGAAATATGGTCACAAAAACTTTTTTTCAAAATCAATTATGCAGCCAAAATTGTGAATCGCCAATTATAATTTTAGTTTTCTAACCATATCTTTAGGATGCTTTGCGTTTAGTAGTTAGTAGAAAAAACAACCACTTATTTCTAATTAATATTTTTTAACGAAAAGTCAGCTTTTATTAATTATTGCATTATAATAATTAGTTGTTATTTATTATATATAGGCTATGATTATAATTGTAATTTTTTTTTTATAAAAAGTATAATTATTTTAATATCATAAACAACACAATTTTTAAAGATAAAATCAAAAATTTAAAATTAAATTCCTGAAATAGTTTCCGCAACGTAAAATCTAATTTAAAATGAACTATTGATTTTTTTCTACTCTAGCTTCATAACTGCTGCTAAATATATTAACTTAGATAAATATTTTGTTTAAACACAACTATAACAAGGAATACAAATAAGTGTCATTTTAGTTGATTTCGGTTTCTTTCTGAAACATTTTACTACTGAATATTACATTTTAATAAGTTAGTATACGCTATAACATGGGAGTTAATTATATCATGTGACTTTTAAGCTGTTATTTTTTTAAACGAGATATGCAATTTTTCAGACTCATGTAAATCAGAAATTTATGCACGTCTTATTAAATTGAGTTTACTAGTTGCAAAGTAAATCTGAAATAACTGTAATCATAATGATGAAATTATATTCATTAGATTACTTTCAAAGGTTCAAGAAAGTAAAATGCAAAAAAATAGTAAAGAAAAATAAGTAATAAGAAAAAAAGTTAAATGAACTTTAATTCGATTGAAACTTTCGAAAGCAAAGTTCAGTTCTTCCTAAAATCTAAACTAGATTAAAAGTAGGTGAACAGTTCGGGTTGATTACTGTTTCTCAGTGTAGTACGAGTAAATAGCACAAGAAGTTGACAGTGCGTCCTGCAGAGAAAGGAAGTATGGTCAAAACTATCAAAATATGGTAAAATTTAGCATGTTTCCTCTATGGAAACACCAGAAAGACCGGAAATCTTTACACAAGCAACTTGGTAATGACTTTGGTGAAATTAACAATAAACTGCGGTTTTATATTGATCTTGATCAACATTTAGTAAATGTGGTAAAGTTCGGTAATTTTATAATGATACTTTTGTGCATGGCATAAAAACCATTTATTCGGCTAAATTTACTTCTCAGTTTTGTATTTTTTACCAAATATGTGGTAAAGACAATTCTTATTTTGAAAGCTAGAATTTCGGGAAAACTATTACCATGTGAATGAAAAAAAGTACCAAATATTGGTTTAATTACCATATACTTAGATTTTATTAGCCAGAAATCTTATTACCCTAGAGTGCTACTGTTACTAATACAGTTTTTTCTCCATGCTGACTGGGGACAAATTTTTAATCTCCATTTCTCTATATTCAGTCATTCTGTGGCCGGTTACCCCTATGCTAATTTTACCCATGTGACCCCAAGCTTTTTTACAGTAAATTAAGATTAGCAAAAAATATTTTTTTTATTTATTCTCCAACTCAATTAGCATACTATTTAAGCAAACAAAATTAATTTGTAAACAAGTGTTAAAACATATTAACGAAACTATGAAAATATTGCTTGCATGTGTGTTTGGAGCACTTTAGGGTAACTCTAGTTGTAATCTTGCTTTTACAACTGGAGTTTCATTTTCAGTTACACTACTTCTATAGAAAGTGCTCTCTATAGAATCAATCCCGCCTAGGAGTATTCTCGATAATAGGGTAAAATGAATCATGAGGAAAAATGGCAGTCCCATCCATTGTCTTTTAACTAGGGAGGAGATCAGAATGATTGACGGAATAATCCTCAATCTCATTATCGTCTGAGAAACATGAAGTCCCCTGTCGTCTTTGTTTGTTACCTTCCAGTGAGTAGCAGATTTATTCATTTATGTCGCTTAGTAACAGCTAGCGGCAGCATTATACTAAATTTCAGAAAGGAAACAAATTAGAGAGTTTCCTTTGCTCCAGATATATAGATCTCAAATAAAATTTGAAATAAACGGTGAAACATATTCCTCAGCTTAAATCTCCATATGCATGCTTAATTATATTTCGGTAGAAGCGATGTCGTGTATTTGATATCTTCATTTGCTTGGAATGTAAATAATTTTAACGCATAAATGAATGAATGAAAATTCCTTTAAATTTTAT